ACCGGAGCAAGGCTGTTGAGCACGAATGGTGCCGCTATAATCGCACTTTGGCTTTGTGTATAATAATCGCGGATGAGGGCTTCAGCTGTAGCAAAATCGTTGAGTGTCAATATAATTTCGGAGATCTTGTGGACCCAATATGGTGGTAGGACTCTCTGGGCAGATTCAATCTCCAATCCCAGTCCTTGATCTTCCGAGCCCAAGTCGACATCCCCAGTTAAGGGGGATACGAAGCTCGTGGGACCGAAATACCCAGAAAGTAGTGGTTGGGTGCGGGCTATGCGCCCAGAAGAGCTCTCTTGTCCCGCATTAGACACGCCGGGATTGAGTGATGTCTCGCTTGAATGAGGGTTCCTGGGAAATAGTAATCATAAGAGTCTGATATGTATACATATGGATATAGCTACGGAAGTGCATTGGGCCGATAATTGATCACTGGAAAATCAATGATGTAGACCGCTCGGAAATGCCATCAAAAGAAGTGAATTTACAATTGACACACCTTGCTAACGGAGGTCGATCAAAGGGAACTCCCTCTGCCAATGGGAAGATACGGCGACCCTTACCCCTCGTCAGGGGAGCGGGGTGATAGTAACATCGCGTGGAGACCCCACGATCTCTACAGCGACTACATACAGGTAATGCATGGTCACAGCGGACTTTGTCTTTGCGGCATGGCTCGCAGGAGGCTTGTTTACCATTCCGACGACGCGAGGTACTGCCATCGGTACATGTATTTAGCGGGTGGCATTGAAAGAAGGTAGAAGACTGATCACTTACCTCATAGGGAAATACAGGTCTGTTTAATGCAGTGTTTCCAAAGGCAAAATGCAGTCCAGGGAATTTCGGTGTTCGCTACTCCGACCAGTTAGATTGAACGCCGAAGAACTCCGGTGGAAACCGGTGGAGACTGCTAGTATACAATATACGACATCGACGCTAGGAAACAGCTTTAGAACAGGTATATACTTATTTGTACACGATACTACATGATAATCAAACGCCAAGAAATCGATCCAACTACATCTGTACGAATATAACATCCTTTCCCCCTTTGATTGTACCCTGCAGATAAGCCCCTCAGATAACGTGAGGAGAAAGATAAGTCACATGGTGACGCTGTACTTCCCCTCCCTCTTCCCCCCTTCCCTTCCTTTCTTTTTTTTTGTAAACTCTCTTCATATCTTGCTTCATCACTTTGGAGCATCTCTTCTCTAAGTAACCATGTTGAAAACAGAACCAGTCGCCACCGTCTTACCCGTATCAATGGAACCATCTCCAACAGCTCCCCCCACCGACCCCAATCCCCGATTCAGCAAACATATTATCGTAAGGAAGATCAGATCTATTCTGACTTCAATGTTCGTATGATGCTGATATCAAGTATAGTTGACCACTTACCCCGGCCAGAGCGGCATTGAACCCGTCCCCCTTGAGTGGGGCGCACCCGACGCCAAATCCCGGGGTCCGGTAGTTGTATCCCGCAGCGGGAACCTTGTCAAGCGCCGCAATGCCATCGGCGCCCACGGCGGAAGTTACAGCATATACAATGCCCTTGCTATTGCCGCTGGTGACTTAGATGCGGATTTCCGACCGGACTTCCGTAACTCTGAGCCGACTTTTAATTTCCCCCCGCAACCTGCCTGGGCGGATAAGAAAAAGATCGTCTCTATCGACCCTTACGGCCATGACATTGTCAACCAGTTCAAGGCAGAGCTGGAGGCTGGCTGGGATATCCGTCCAACTATGGCGGTCACTCGGGCTAATATGAAACTCGCGGAGATTGCCGATGATGTGAAGAATGGCCTGCTTGAGGTGGACGGGTCTATCCTTGTTGATTCATCCGGCGAGGTTCGTGTCACTAAGGTAGCAGCCGAGCCTGTCTGGTATCTCCCTGGTGTGGCAGAACGATTTGGGGTTGACGAAGGCACTCTTCGTCGGACTTTGTTCGAACATACCGGTGGGAGCTACCCCGAGCTTATCACTCGGCCTGATCTGAAAACCTTCCTGCCACCAATCGGAGGCCTTACTGTATACATCTTTGGCCCACCAGAGCGGATCGCGGACGAGAATGTGAAGCTAGCTCTGCGTGTCCACGATGAGTGTAATGGCAGTGATGTCTTCCAGTCAGATATCTGTACCTGCCGACCATACTTGGCATTTGGTATCCGCGAAGCAATCCGAGAGGCACAGAACGGTGGCAGTGGTGTGGTCATCTACTTCCGCAAGGAGGGTCGAGCCCTTGGAGAAGTGATTAAGTATCTTGTGTACAATGCGCGCAAGCGTGGAGGTGATACCGCCGATAAGTACTTCACTCGGACAGAGAATATTGCTGGTGTCCGCGACGTAAGGACCCTCATAATCTAACGTGGCTCGCATGTACTGACTTTGCCCACTGCAGATGCGATTCCAAGCTCTCATGCCCGACATTCTGCACTGGCTTGGCATCACAAAGATCGATCGCATGCTGTCAATGTCAAATATGAAGCACGATGCCATCGTAGACTCTGGCATCAAGATTATCGAGCGTATCCCTATCCCTGACGAGATGATTCCTAGTGATTCAAGGGTCGAAATTGATGCCAAGATCCAATCAGGATACTTCACTACCGGCAAGCAGCTGACGGATGAAGAACTGACTCAAGTCCGTGGACGCGGCTGGGAGAAATGGGAAGATATCTCGGTAAGTTCAACTGCCACCTCGGACACATTGCAGACTCGTGTGACTGACCGTTCCTGCAGCACTAAATCTGGGCATCATGTTTCCTTGTCGAGATCAGAAGCCAAACTCGTAACTTCAATTTTGGTAGTCCTCTTTCGTTAGTAATTTGGTCAGTGTGATGTGTGTACCACCCCACGTTATCACACACAGGGCACTTTGTCGTGACTTCATAAAGAATGGATCCATATTTAAGAGATAAATTAAGAAAAGAGACTGCTTGAGTCGAATAATAACTTCCATGTCGCGGTTTGAGTAAGACGAGTAGTAGCAAGCCGCAAGGTACTCACTATAAGACATTCGGGGTACTTCCGATATTTGAACAGACTGATATTAGGAATGGTACCTTGGTAGCGTATGTAATCATCGGCCTAGACGCCGATGCGGATTTATTTCCACTATCTAGCTTCATCTTTCTCTAGAGAGACTACAACATATTACAGCTTCCACCGGATTCCACTACTAAGCTTGCACGCCCCGTGCAAGAACATCCTTGTAAACGTCAAGGCAAGGCAAAGCTGGCATATAAGGCATGAAGATTTCTTGTGCAAAGAGCAGGCAACCTGAAACCTTTAGCCACAAGCGGGTCAGTCGGGTTCATCTAAATGACTACCATAACAAGTCTTACCTAGGCAGCTCACAACTACTCACTCTCGGGCCCTCACAACTCGATCTAGGCTCCACGCTAACCGGTTATTGGTTGTAACAAATGGTCTCTCGCTCGGTTGGATGTAATATTAGTGGGCTATCTACATATCTCCTCTGCATCGACCAAATACGCGGTGGCTTGGTATTCTGCGCTAGCGGAGGGTGGAGTATGCGCTAGAGAAACTCAAGCATGGTGCTCACAAAGAGACCTGTGACGTAGTGAAGAAGTCGGTGAAGGAGTTATAATGTAATATTTGTGATGCCATCTGGTAGTATTGAGTATATAATTCAGCTTATTATAAGTAGATAAAATCGATAATAATGATGAGATCAGACGACTGTTTCATGAAGTTTTGACACCAAACAACCGAGTCCTAGCCGAAAGTAGCCCGATTTAAAGTGAATGGATCTTCAACAATCTAGGAGATCATGACGCAGGATGGATGTTGTCCAAAGAATCAGACAGAAAACTTTATTTAGAATGCTGTTAGAAAGTGTTCGCAAGAGCCGAGTGCTTCTGTTAATGTACGGAGTAAATCACTGTGGACTATGACACCAAAGTCAAGATCCACACACGTTGCTAGTCCTTGCAACCAGGCTGAACCGATATCGGACCAGAGACCTGTGGGTGCGAGAGTATTAGGAAAATGCACGGACTTTGTATAGAGGCGGAGAAGGTGATGCTGTTTAACCAATCCTACTCAATCAACTCGAATTTTCTCCAGAGAGGACAGCATCTAAACGACGTTCTCACCACTTTCAACGGCCTCACGTTTACATAGACATTTAAACACTTGAATTTTAATTGCTACGGTATCACCACCGTTTTCCGACCCATTGTATACTTTACCTACTGCTGAATTGGGTCAATTTCGAAATACAACTATCGCAGTGGCCTCCTATTCGGTAGTGCATATGTGATAGGACTCACTGCAGACACTTGCTGTGGCTGAATGTAGAGCAAGGATGCCTAGGTACAGTGACAGCAAAAGTTTGACAACCCCTAATTCTGCCAGTCAGCCCTCCATTAGTTAGAGACCGAGGATACCGGGCGGGAAAAATACTTCAGGGAGGCTGTAGCAGAAGGGGTGTGTAGATTTTTGCAATGTCAATTGTATTCTGGGGGGTTTAGGCTGGCAGATTTGGTCAGTGCCAGTATTGCCTTTCCCAAACCGCATGATCTCCATGATAATTGAGGCTTACCGATATCGACACCATCTATAAGATCCAAAGCCCTTACTGGATATGTGCCTGGGGCCCTGAGCCGCTGGCGGGCTTAGGAGTGTGATCTAAAAACCTAATAGGTTAGACTGAGGCGGTATGCACATATATTCAAGAAAGGATATTGAGTGGTTACACGTAGATTCCAAGGCTGGTCAGTCCTTTATGTGGCTCCGTTGATACATCAGACTTACATTCATCATGCATGAAGGCGGTCTATGTAACCACTCAAAGATAAGGACCTGATGTCCCATGAAAAGCTCCTCAGCCCTCCTTCCTCCCTTCCTGCAAATTCTAGCGCATTGCGTGGTTCATACCTTACATTTATCTCATGAAGAGAAAAAATAAGAAGGCCTGTAAAAACAGCTCACGTGTGGAAAGCATACACAAGGTTCCTCGCGCGGAGACCGAGATGCCCGAAGAGAAGACTGGACAAATTCAGAAAATTCCTGTTGGCGATGGAACGGACCCTGGCCAAGTCGTGGGGGATCTGACTGCTAGTATACAGAGGTTGGCAATTGAACCCAGAGATTAGTTATTTCGAGCTAAAGGTCGCAGTTTCTTCATATCTTCTCAGTTTTCGGACCTTGTTGTCAAAACCGAAGAGCAAGAATTCAAGTTGCATAGGTTAATTGTCTGTGGGCAGTCTGAATATTTTGCGCGATTGTACCAGGGCAACTGGGCAGTAAGACCCCACAGGCGAGGTTTTATTCTGAATTCTAACCTAAATGTTAGGAAACGGCCGACAATACGATCCAGTTGAATGACGATGATCCTCGTGCTATCGAGGCAATGATCCACTTTATGTATGGCATTGACTATGATAGCAGCGGTAACGAGCTCGGCCGTATTTCTCCTATGATCTTCAATGTCAGGTTATATCAGGTCGCGGACAAATATTTCGTACCCCGGCTCAAGCAAAGGGCCAAAGAGAAGTTTGGACAAATCGCAAGAACCTGTTGGGAAATGGATGATTTCCCTGTTGCTATTGCTGAGGCATATCATTGTACTCGGAAAGATGATCGAGATCTCCGAGAGCTACTGGTGCAAGTTTCACGAGACCATATCGTTGAACTGATGAATAGTGAAAGGTTTTGTTCTGTTCTCGAGGAAACTGTCGGCTTTGCTGCCGATCTCGTCATATCTCTGTCTGGAGAAAGAGGGTCGACGAAAGATCACCACAAATATTACTGTTCTGGATGTTCTCGTAAATGGTCCTGGTGCAACTCTGAGGTAGTGAATTACTGCCCATTCTGTGCGGGTTCCAGAATAGGTAGACGAGAATGAGGGTTTGGGCTATGTACTTAGGCACAACTGTTTTCGATCCCAGTTCTTATTGTTGGATCGCAGAATATCCGGTTTTCACTACACTTGATTGGCCCATTTTTACTCCCAGCTCCACTTTGGAGTGCCATAACCTACCTAGTCGAGGTCCCTACAATGATTAGCGCTAATGGACGCACAGAAAGGGAAACCCCAATTAGCCTTCATTCCTATTTTGTACTAGTCGGGGATTTTGGGCCTCGGAGAGCCTGTTAGTGTTGTCTACCTAGGTTGTATGGAGTACCATTGATCCCACTCGCCTCTTACGCCGTTCCTCTGGGTTCCGGTGCCGCCGGAGGCAATAGTGGAGACTAGCACGATCAGATAAGATCATAACACGCTCAATTTTTCCCGTGTCGCCTACCTGCGGGGCGCCAAGCCATCACGCGATGACGTGTCCAGACGATCAGAGTGTAGAAAAAAAAGAAGGTCAGGCTTCATTTCCGAAACCGAATATTGAAGATTAGAAACAGATATAACAGAGTCGAGAAGGAAATGTACAGAAGGTACAGAAGTGAAAGAGTGAAGCTCAGAAATCACATGCCCACCCACTAAGGCCTGCAGCCCTAGAGGGAGGTGGGTAAAGCGGGGACATTTAGGGCCAATGACGACTAGCTTTTGATTACTGTCATGAAATATAAATTACTGTGTTACAAGCCCAAAAAGTCATGAGTCAGCGTAATTAACAGTTAAAATACGGTCAGGGGGGACCGGGGAGCCGGAAGTGCCGCCAGCCGCGATCATACGACGAGACTGCCTCCCCGTTTGGTTGCCTGGCTGTTGTATTCTGGCCCATACAATCTCCCCTGATCTTCATGCATGGAGACTGAAAGCTCAATCCCATTTTGACGCAATAGCTTGTATCTGTCTCTTCCCATTACGCTGTCACGTATTCTCAAAGGCTACCTGGGTGATCCACCTTCCCTCCATCGGAGATCACCTTTACGCAGCGGGTTTTAGAACCCACCTATTTCCTTGGACCCAAGTGCTTCCCTAAGTCTGTTTTATGTGGGTATCTTTTACACCCCTGCTCTCTGCTCCTCCAATCGCCTAGCACCACCCGTGGCTGTGCCTCTCACATTCCCCTTCTCGCAACTCAGTCTTTACATCTCACGTTGAAGAAAGCATACAGTGCATTCACATCTGTTAAGCTTCATTCATTTGAGTTTGAGCGTTTCACTTGAAGTTGAACACAGTCAGTATCATCTATCTCCTTACCGCTGTCATCGGATCGCCGCTAGCCTGTATCGGCCTAGCTGTCGGCTTTGCCTCGAACATGGCTGTGCAGGCAGCTGAATTTTGTTCTTTTAACAGAGCAGTGGCTTCTTCCTATTACTGAAACTAACGTGTTTATCAGTGACAACTATCCAGAGGGCCCAATACATCATCCGGACTTAGACTACCCCGGGCATTGGCCGAGGATCCAACCGTGGAATACCAGCCAAAATGTCCGGCCCCAATATGGAGAATGACTTTCAACTTTTCTCTTCACGAAATTCTGGCGGGGATGAGACGCGAGGAAATGATCACTTGTTCACACACCCAACCGGAGAGAATGTGAACCAAGATTGGACCCAGTGGATGCGATGGGATGAGCCAATGTTCTCGGAAGGAGATCAGAAGACAACAGCCTCATCTATAGATCTACCATCTATCTCCCCGCATACAGATATGAGCTCCCCGAGTCATTTGAACTACAAAGACTTCTCACCTAATCTTCCGCTCGGCTTGATGGAAATTCCATCTGAGCCCAATGCCGGGAACAACCTTGGGTACACCCACAGCCTGCCTGGACAAAATTGTCACACAAGCCAGCAACAACATTTAGGTCTGGTGTCTCCAATCTCAAGTGTTGGGACAAGCCGGAAGCGAAAGACAGGCAGCGATGATGATTCCACCGCAGTGACTGGACCAGTGCAACCAGGCAAGAAAATGCCCGCCAAAAAGCGAGCCCACAACGTCATCGAGAAGCGGTATCGCGCCAACTTAAACGATAAAATCGCCGAACTTCGCGACAGTGTTCCCAGCCTTCGGTCGACCAAGAATCCAAATGGAGGCTCGGCCGATGATGACGATGAAGCGGATGGAGCAAATGCTGCGAACAAGCTCAACAAAGCATCCATTTTGTCGAAAGCAACGGAGTACATCAAGCATCTGGAAATTCGTAACAAACGTCTGGAAGACGAAAACACTGATTTGAAGAATCGGCTCCGTCAGGCTGATAAAGCAGCAGATCAGGCTGCCACATCCTCGGCCTCTGTGTCCTCGCCCAGCAACTATGCCTCGACGGACTCGGGCTCCGGTACATCACCTAGTGTGTTTTCTCAGGCGGAAGAGGTGTCCAGCGAGAGTTCACCTACCTCTCAGAACCCTCCAGAGGGGCTCCTTCCGGTTCCTGATGCGTGGAAACGTATGCGAGCTGAAACTGCAAAGCAAGGAGTCTTTGCCGAGTCATATATCAAATATCCCTCGTCATCATCCTCATCGCATCATCCGCAATATGCCAGAGAAGATACCTCCACTCGACGTTCAAGGATGCCCAACAAGTATATGCTGGGTGCCCTTGCCGGTCTGATGGTTCTTGAAGGTATGGGCTCTGACGATTCCGAGTCCGAGGCAAAGGGCCTGTTTGCACTCCCCATCAGCCTTTTCGGCCGTTTCCAAACACCCACACTGGCGCACTGGGAATTCTACCTGAAGCAGTTCTGGTACTCGTGGCAGGCGCGTGCATTTTCTCATTTCCTTATGCTAGCAACGCTGGTCGTTGGTAGTGCATTTATTGTTTTTGTCTACTTGTTCAATGCGCAGCCCATCACGCGGCGTGGCCCATCTAAATCGGCTTCTGAGGGCCCGACTGCGCCTCTTACGTCTAGTGATTTCCGTCGGCAGGCTTGGCTGACTAGCATGCAACGGGTCGGTGTTCCACGTCATAGATTCTTCCGAGAGTGGTATGTTGTTACTTCAAGATGCTTTGAATACGTCTTACGATGCTTGATGGGATGGAAACTCTACTCATGGGCCACTGGAATCACTGAGGAAGATGAAAAGGGGCGAGTCAAGACTTGGGATATCGCAATTGATGCTCAACTCACTGGCGGAGATGCTGAGATCAGCAAGAGCCGCCTTGTGCTCACTATCTTCGCTGCCGGCACACTCCCCTGTACTCCCGCAAGAATGATAATTAAGGCCTTGCATGTCCGCATTCTTTTGTGGAACGTGGGAGAGGCAGGCTCCTGGTCGTTCCATGTGTCAAACGACATTGCGCGAGCTCTTGCCAGATTCCAGTGGGGTGTGGCTCGAGAAATCAATGCCGCGCTACCTGAGGGTCACCCTGATCAACTTCCCCCTCACCTTGCTGCCCTGATCAAGCTGGATTGCGAGGATGTCATGATTGACAACATTATTCAACGTGCTGTGAATCTGACATGGAACCGACCAACCCAAGAAGGTACTGGCGACGACGAAGTGCTGCTTGATGTTGTAGACGAGGACCCGGCTATCCAATGTTCACAAGATGCCCTTGCGGCTTGGTGGTCCAGTCATCTTTTGCAGACCGCTCTTCTCAACTATTTCGAAGCAAGCGAGAAGGGCCCGGTGTCCAAGGCAAGCCGTGATGCATTCAAAGAGAAGATTCGTATGTCTCTTGATGTGGCGCCAGTGCTTTCCGCCGCGTATACTCGGGCACTCGTGATGAAAGCAGTATTCTTTGAACAAAACCGCATTGAAAATGTTGGAGCAGTTCTTGCCGCGCTACCGAAAGAGAAGAGAAAGGGAAGTCAGAGTCACTCATCCAACTTCCTTGATTCCTCTCTGCCCGTTTCTGTGCGGGATGAAATTTCCATTGCCGTGCGTTGTGCTATGATTGCCACCATTCTCACCGAACGATCCACAGGTGACGCCTCCTCACTACCGGCGTCATTCACCGTTCAAAAGGCTATCACTTGGTTCAATCAGCTTCCGATCGATCCAGTCGAGCTTTCACTCATTGGGTTCTCGTCTGTCTATCATCTCCTACACCTCCTTGCCTCTGACGTGGATTATATCGCGTCATCCGATTCATCCTCCCCTTCGACTCCAGCTTCGGAGGCTACCTCCTCCGCAGACGATGAAGCCGAAGAAAAGCCCCGTTCGGCCCATAAGCTCTTCATCTGCCCCCGCGACATCCCCAATCTCGGGCGGGTATCAGCAGAACTCATCTATTGGGCCCGAAATGCCTACACCCCGGCCTTCTACGGCTTTTCATCTACTCTTGTTGAAGTGATTGTCAATTCGTGCACAACAATTTGCCAAAACGCAGGCATCAATGTTGATGACTTTGTGCACGCCGCACCTGACAGGGCTCTATCCAAGAAACGCAGGACCCGTCGGCGCAGGGGAGAATCCCAGTCGTCTCAAAGCGACGCCGATCAAGATCCAGTTGATTATCCTGTCCCAAGACCGCCTCTGCGTCGGGGACGATCAGCCAGCAACGACACTGGGTATGGCAGCCTCTCTGTTGAGGAAGATGAACAGCCAGTACCCCATTCCCCTCCCAATGTGCAGGAGGTACCTGCCTGAGGTCTACAATGATCACAGCAGGGTTATCACTAACGCAAACCTAATAATGACGGCGTTTTCGGCTTTTGTATTTCTAATTTGGGTATGGCCAAGCGCTTTTTGGTTATGAAAAAAAAAGAGAGGGAAATGGAATGGTATCAGGAATAGCGTATTTGTATAAGCTCTACTGCTAAATAGAATGGCATCGTCATAACTTTTAAAATAAACCCACGTAGTTGAGAACTGAAATGTGAATTACTCTATACTGAGCATAGAAGATTACGAGGCTATCGCCAGGGCTACGACACGGATCAATTCTGCGTTCCGCCTGTTCTAAAGCTCCATTCCTCTCTCTCTTCCATAGTCTGCCAGATTATTTTCTTTTCTTTTTTTCAACACAATAATCAGAGTTAAAGTGGGTGGCTTTACAAGAGCAGTGACATTTTGCCTTTTATTTCCAATGCTTGCAGCATTCTCCTGACATAGTGCAACAATCTTTACTATATGTTGTAGTGACCGAGGTCAAGAAGTGGTCCACTGGTCTGTGCTGCATGAGATTCCCTTTTTGAAGTTGTTTCCGGTCAAAAACCACTTTCATTATGTCATCCCATTTTGGTCTGTGGTATTTCTTTTTTGTATGGGCCAATCTAGGCCGTGGAGACCTGACGATGTAACAGAAGCACTTTAAAGGAAAAAAGATTACCTAGGTACCTAACTTTGCTTAGTTGTCTCTACATAGTATACTAGATTCTGTTTATTTTATTAGTATGTTGTAGAATATGAAGTATAATCTCCGTTCATATTGAAGGGAGTTCAAGCTTAACCATTGGTATGCAGGTTGCAGCTGTCAATTGTAAGCCCTGGAGGTAATGTAAAGATTACGGCATCAATTTCTGTTTGCCAGGAATCTAAGGCCACATATCCCATCACTTGGGCCTCATGACCTGTAGTCACGATACCATATACAAGGTATTCGAGCTCTGACTCATCTGAAATATTCTATTCCTTTATCTTGCGCATCGTGACCTACTCTGTTGGACTAGTGCGAGATTCGGATTTTCCCGTCATTTTTGACCATCTGGTTCAAGGCATCAGTCTCGCCAAGACCATCACCCCGTTTCGGGCAGTTTGTGAAGCGAAATGGCCATCAGTGCTTGCGAGAGTCTCGACTCAATGGAAGCCACTGGCTTGGAGTGAAAGCCGAGAGAAGTCGTTTGGTAATTGTGTCCATTTGGTGTCATTCTGTACACACGGACCTCTACCTAGAAAATTTCTCGAGCCAATTCAGGAGTATATGCGGCTCCGAGTCTTACTATAGGGTACTATGGCGTCATAACTACAAGGTTCCAAGATTGCTACGCTACAGTTTCCACTTTGAACTTGAGCATTGTCTCTCACGTTGCAGTTGCATCATATTGAACCGAAGATCCAAGGCGCGAGTCCACGTTAAGCGTATTGATATCGAGGGCTCTGACAATTGATCTGCAAATATCAGGCAAAAAATCGACCCGATTCAGGAACCAAAATGGTTAATTTGAATTTTCTCATTGTTCTTATCCCATGACTGATTGGGGGACGAAGAATGCTGAAAGTGACAGCAGGTATCAACATTCCGTTTTCGGGTTGCCGAACAACGGCCACGTCTAGACGGCGATCCCTTCATCCTATCCAAACCCCTTAAGCCTGCGAAGATGACACAGCCCGCCACACTATCCCAGGTCCACCTGTCCTTCGATTTGGTCATGACAGGGCAATTCCCAGAGATTTGGAATTCTTCACCACTCAGCCGAGCGCATCATCTCCACTCAGAATAAAGTTATCACACATACCAAGATCCATTTCGCCCAATTCGACGTTACACTGACCATGTGAGACACGATTGTCCACGCTTGCCGTGTAAACGGGAGGGTGGGTTCATTCGTCTCTACAAAAAATAAACTTGCGGGACCAGCAGCGATCAATGACGGCATGTGTCTATTCCTGGATGGCTAGTCTGGAAATTAATACAACGCCAATGATGTCCACGTCTGAACTTTCCTTTCCACGCGACTTCAGTACCTTTTAAAAGGCATTATTCCGTCCAAACCTTGTGTTCTCGCCCCTTCTCGGTCTTGAAATCTTCCAAGGTTGGATAATATATGCTCACTGTGGTCGACGGTCTCCATACCTAGTGGATCTGCTGCTTGAGCTCCCCTTGCCTATTGAATGACACGATGGGTGTCGAACTCAAAGGAAATGGCTCGGGGGAGCCGCCTATGAACCCCACGATTGCGGTCCCTCTATTCGTTGTCGGCGGACTGATAGCAATTCTATTCGTCTGGAAAACGATCATTCGCATCCGACATCGTCGACGATCGAAGGCGGCACGGCAAGGAACCGACCAGACGCAGCTATGCCGGACAAATCGCTTGAATGCGGCCCTGAAAAAGCATTTGCTATATGCTCCGATATGGGGCAGTCGTCATAGCCGCGAGTTCCGCTTCTTGAGGCTTCATATGGGGTCTCTACCGCTACGACTGGAAGTGATTTGCCTGTTGATCTATCTCAGCTTGAACATAACTTTCATTATCGTGACAGTCGATTGGTGGCTCAGTGATTACTCCGAGAAGATGTTCCAGCTCAAATACGCCGCGGGTCATCTGGCAGTCATGAATACGCCAGGCTTGGTTCTAGGCGCAGGACGAAACAATCCGTTGGTCCAGCTGTTGGGTATCTCATTCGATACGTTCAATTTCATGCATCGTTGGGTGGGTCGTGTGATCACAGCCAACGCTGTCATTCACATGAGCGCCGTGCTGGCCGACAAGGCTTATATACGTTAGTAGCTTTGGGTATATACGATGCAATCATTTACTAACATCGGACTGTTGAACTTAGATGGCACAGACTATATTCTATATGTTATGTGGCAACAGAAGCTTTACATATGCGGCCTTCTGGTATGTGATGCAGTTCACCAGCACTTCAGATCGCCATCTAACGTATCTCTCCTTAGGCCATCCTTGGGTTCATTTGTATTTTTATTCAATCTCTGTCGCCGGCCCGACATTCATTTTACGAACTATTCCTTCACCTCCATATCGCCCTGGCCGTATTTTCCTTCGTGGCGCTTTGGTATCACCTGCAAAACCTGTTGCAACAGCGCGTTCTTCTTGGCACCTTGATTCTGTGGGGTCTTGATCGTGCAGGGCGACTTGGAATACTACTTTGGAGAAATCTTAGCTCACGGCCCACAACTGCCACAGTCGAGGTTCTACCTGGGTCTGTTGCTCGCGTTAATGTGGCCGTGGCTCGAGCATGGCGCTTCCGTCCTGGCCAGTATATGTACCTCTACATGCCGTGTCTGGGCTTGTGGACCTCACATCCCTTTACGGTTGCATGGTCGTCGACATCGGATTCGTTGGATATGAACGAAAAGCACTCGTCGGGTGACTCTTTGAATGCGCTCACTGGAGGCTCGCCGACTACAACCATGTCCGTCCTGATTAAGGGCCAAGACGGATTCACGAAAAAGTTGCTCCAGAAGGCTGAAGATTCGGCTGAGGGACGAATTCAGGCGATGGCATTGGCAGAGGGGCCATTTGGTATGGGTTCCTTGACTCAAACATTGGTTGTTGATGGTTTTGATCATATTTGCTAACGTCTCACAGGTGGTATCCATTCTCTCGCCTCATATGGCACTCTGCTGTTGATAGCTGGAGGAATTGGCATTACCCACCCAATGTCATATTTGAACGAGGTTATCTCCACGTTTACCGAGCAAGAGACAGCTACTCGCAAGGTGCATCTGGTCTGGATCGTCCGCAGTCTAGGTATGATCGCCTCACCTGATATATATAATTTACCACTAACATCTAGAAAGACCACCTCAGCTGGATTCAAACATTCATGGCCGAAATATTAAGTCACGAATCCCTGAATAGCCCAAGAAACCCGAACGAGCACTCATACTTCGAATTTCCACAACTCCTCCTCTCCATCAGCCTCCACATCACATCACATAAGGATACGGTCGAGGAATACATCCCACAACCAGATTCGCTGTGGATGCAATGTGCCCCGCCTGGTGTACCGGTTAGTATCCACCACGGCAAGCCGTGTATGCAATCTGTGCTAGAAAAAGAAAAAGAAGAGCAGATTGGTGCGATGGCGGTTAGCGTCTGCGGTCCTGGTGGCCTGGGCGATAGTGTGCGGGAGGCTGTCAGAAATGTGCAAGGGGAGAAGACGGTTGATCTATTTGAAGAGACATTCTCATGGTAGGGGACCTATGTTTCTGAATATGTTATCTAGTTGCTCTGTGGGTCTGGCGTTATCTTTCTATGTAAACAGGTTTTGAGTTGAGCTCTAAATCAATGCCCTCTGTGAGGTTTTTAAGAATCGGTCCCAAGTTTAGTTCCAATATATATTTTTGCTTCCCTTCATTTCTGTCATATATCTCTATCCCTATAGACATTAGACCCAACAGATTATCTACGGATTCTACCTAGGCTTATTTTCTGCACCCAACGAAGGTATGATCAACCGCAAATCATTACCGGTCGCAGATATACCCATCATGCATTCCAACCCTCTGAGGCCTCTATTCTGTTTTGCAAGCATCGAAAAAGCTTAACGGGATGATATTTCATTGCTCATTACACACTCTATCTTGGATAGAGCGCGGTCTATCAAGTCTTCCACAAGTTCTTGGCCAGTTGTGCAGGTAGCCTTGGCCTCACGAAGCCCTTGAACCCATATATCCCATCTTTCGCGTTCAAAGCCCTTCCAACCACGATTTGAATACATTTCTCCTGGTCGACCATCGTATTTGTTGTATTTACGACCATTGAGTACATTTTCCCAGAGTCTGTCACCGGCACAGATTAGCCAGTAACACACACTGAGCAGACCAGCTGTAGAGGCAATTTGTTTGGAAGGAATGCCCTCTTCGAACACATGACGAAGTCCACAAAGTCCCATGTGAGATTCATCCATAGCATTGCTAATCCACACCTGTAACGGTGAAGTGTATTCAACATCGGCAGCTTGCGTCACTTGCGCGAGAAAGATATTGAGTTTTGCCCATCTGATTTGCTGATCGGGCTCCATATCCGGATCACAGAGGTCTAAGAATCTGTTAGCGCTACAGAAGAAAATACAGAATCCAATGTCGCCGTCGCTGTCGCTTACGTGTCATCCGACCGCACTCATGGTCAGTCCATATTTCGTGAGCCCAGAATGTAAGAGATGGTAGATGTGACCATACTCTGCTTCCGTCCTGTGATTTTAGAACCAGTCCAGTCGATGAATCGACAGCATTGTACAGCTTTAATTCTCCCAGGAACTCGACCAACGGACCATACTGAGTTGTATCGATTTGCATAGCCAGCTCAAGGATAGCTATGAATGTTATTGCGTCAGCTTTCTCGATTGTTCCTCCTGGGCCGTAGTTTTCCAGTCTGTCCATTGTCGTCGCTATGATCCACTGTACAGTATCCTCAACCGTGACATCCCCATTGACAAGCGCCTCGAATAACTTGAACTCCTTGGACTCCTCGGCCCGCGTGAGCTTGAGCATCTCATCCCACGACATAATGAATACTGGTAACACTTCAAGTTGAAAATTTTGCAATTTGCGACTTACGAGTGGGCCGGAAATCGCCGTCGCCCCCTGGCTAGCGTGGCTTACTTAGGGCTAATCAACCATTGGCGACTGATAGAGTTTATTTTTGGATATGCAGTAGAAGTACTTTGTACGAAGTACTGCATTGGAATGAATACGAAGTAAAGCAAGAACAAGCAATAATGATAATGGCGTGATCGTCAAATACGAGGATCAAAAATATCGATCTGGCGTTCTAGATCGTAAAGGTTGATATATATCACATTATATTATGTTATATTAACCCCAATGTTTATTATTAGCCAATGATTTAGACACGGTGCTACCCAAGATTTTCCAAAACTCTAATTCAAGGCCGTGGTCGCCGTGCTATATGTTAAAACACATATTTACACACGATCTTTGCATTTCCCCTGTATATATCTATCCCAAGTATCCGAAAACGAATCAGAAAAAAAAAACATCTTAAAAGGACTTGACACGGTTGAAAACCATCACTGTTTGATTTGACTCTGTGCAGCAGCCCACTGGAAAAGTTCTGCGATCGAGTTGCTCACAGCATTCGTCCTAGGAATTTCATGCCCACCTCCATGATCATAGGTGCGACGTTTCGTTGGTTCGCAGATACCAGAGAGGTGCACGCCGGCCGCCCACCGAGGATCTTTCGAGCCGTAAATATGTACCGTGGGAACATTGATACGGTAGGGGCTAGTAATCTCATTCCGCACTTCAGCCTCCGAAAGCCCGCCATTTAAAGTCTCGAGACCAGTCCATCGATCCCCGCCCTGGGCCAAGAGAGTCGACGAGCTGGCTTGTTGAGCTAGCGCAGACCGGGATGCAAGATCACGTTCACGCGCCTTAGCAGAAACATGGAAGCCCATCTCCTCAAGCACATTCAACGAGGCGCCACCGCAGACAAAAACAGCCGCTTTAAACGGCGGCGGGAGATGAGGTGTCTCTTCCTGGTGGAATAGGAGAGCACTGGAGCCCAGGACACAGCCTTGGGAGAACATGAGCGCGAGATCGTAGGGGCCGTTTTTGGCGATATGATCAGTCAGCCAGGCGTAGGTGGCTCGGACGGAGTCGACGCCATCATGTTCCCAAAAAGCGTAGTATGGGGGACTGTAGAAGATATCTACGCCTGGAGCGGCTTCACTCTTGAATGGGCCATCGACAAAGTCAAATTGGACGTCGTTGGGAAGTTTAGCGCGGAATGTGGCTAGAGTGGGGATTAGTTGTCTGGGACGACTCGGGAACTGAGGGAAGCTAACAAATCTGGGAACGGAAGATAGAGCCACTGGTTCCCTTGCCGTGGAGACAAAGCACTTTCATGGCTGATTATATTCTGGTTGATGTCAAAATATGAGTTTGGAGGGGAATTATGTGGGAGGGGTTGTTCAAGTTCATGCATAAGCACTAACCGACTTAACCCCGCGATAGGCCGTTTTGGGACAGCTTGTTTTCAACGAACGTCAAAGACGTCAAATACGTCGGTTTAGAATTCAATAACAAGTTATAGGTCTGACAATTCTTCTCAAACTGCGTGAACCCCGGTTTTGCTCCCTCGTCTTGGCTGATACCCCTTGGGCCAGTTAGGCGAAGAACATCACATTATACCTGTTATACCTGTTATACTGGCATGTCAGATTCTTGCACATCGAAAAGAAATATTGAAATATTGATAGATTTAAAAGATACTATGGCCTTCATAGGTAGTTCTTCTGCCGGTTTGCCCCGTATATCAAGCCTGGGATGTATAGCAGCCGGGATATGATGTCAGCCTCCTCTGAACATACTCCTAGTCTTTCTGGCACTTGATTTCTGAATTGAACTAATTTCTGTCAATAATAGAGCTTTGGGCCACGGGTTTGGAAGATATGCAGTGCCTTTCCCACAAATCTGCAAAAGTCACGGCAGTACTTCGTTTCAGATGAATGATTGACGCAATATGAACACTTTGAATGTGTCAAAGTCTTGGCTGCATGACTCGTGTTTATGTCAATGATCCATGTGCAATATTGAAAATTGCCCAAGAGACTAAATCAAGGCCCAGAGTAGGCAGAAAGAGTATCAATTGGGGCCTGCTTTCAGAGTGAATCGAAAGATGCCTAATATGGAATTTTTCGCGTGATGAAGGCTGTGTAGCGCACGCGTGGCACAAATCAACATAAAACAAACTGTTCCAGGGGCAACGCTGTTCATCAAGGGCTGTGTAGAGAGGATGGCGGAAAGATTGAGACGGAGTCGGTGCAATTATTTGTGGCGATCCCAGAAAGTGGAGGTGTATAAGTGGATATCCCGAGCCTTTTTTTCCAAAAGTTTCTCTTTCGTCATACTTCTCCAATTTGTAATCAGGGTCTATTTAATACCATCTTGTCCATATTCTCTTGCTTAGTTTCTTTTCTCTATCTCCAAATTACCACCATGAAGGCAGTCATTGTCACCCAACCCAAGACCGAGGGTTTGGTCACCGATCGACCCATCCCCAAGCTTCGCGATGACTATATTCTCGTCAAGACCGTCAGTGTGGGCTTGAACCCTACCGACTGGAAGCATGTTGCTTTCCTTGCCCCTCCCGGTGTTCTCATCGGATGCGACTATGCAGGCATTGTCGAGGCCGTCGGCAAGGATGTCAAAAAGCAATTCACCAAGGGTGACCGCGTGTGTGGATTCGCGCACGGTGGCAATGCAGTGCAGCCCGAAGATGGCACTTTCGCCGAGTACATCGTCGCCAAGGGTGATGTGCAGTGGAAGATCCCCGAAAACATGAGCTTCCAGGAGGCCGCTACCCTCGGAGTTGGCATCACCACCGTGGGCCAAGCTCTCTACCAGAGTTTGAAGCTTGCATTGCCCACCGAACCCATCAAGGATGCCACTCCAATTCTGATTTATGGTGGATCCACCGCGACCGGCACCCTGGCTATTCAATTTGCCAAGCTGTCAGGCTACAAGGTCCTGACCACTTGCTCGCCGCACAACTTTGATTTGGTCCGCAGCCTTGGCGCCGATGATGTCTATGACTACAAGGACGCCCAGGCCCCAGCTCAAATTCGCAAGGATACTGATAACAACCTGAAGCTCGTATTCGACTGCATCGCGCTCGAGTCCAGCGCTGCGTTCTGCGACAATGCTATCTCCACCGATGGCGGCGAGTATAGCTCTCTGTTGAGCGTCAAAATTGACCGTGCCAATGTGAACGACCGCGCCACCCTAGCTTATACCACCGTCGGCGAGGCCTTCTCCTTTGGAGATATTTCTATCCCCGCCAAGCCGGAGGACAAGGCTCACGCTGAGAAGTTCATTCCTATTGCCGAGACTCTGCTCGCCCAAGGAAAGGTTAAGGTCCACCCCCCCAAGGTTGGTGAGCACGGCTTGAAGGGTGTGATTGAGGGTCTGAAGTTGCTCAAGGAGGACAAGGTCAGCGGCGAGAAGCTGGTCTACAATGTTTCCGAGACCCCTTGAATAAGACACTACTTTCTGTCTACTGGATAATTTAAAGAACCATAAAGAAACCATTTTTATTCCCACCTTTTTTGAATTACCGTGCGAGTCTGATCTATCCCCCGTAATCCCAGTCATATGTTTCCCATTAGTTGACATTGACATGAATCATGTAGAATCTTCGTAAAACAGGCTTGAATTTTTCGCTTGTCACCTGCCCCTCCTTTGTTATCTCAAACCCAGATTATCAATCGAGCCATTCTCCTGCATTTCGTACAGGGGTTGGGGACCTCGCATCCTCACTTTAAATCCTACTTCCAACTAACTGTTGTCTTGCTAGCCCAGACTAGTTCCAAACCAATTGCGGTGATTATCAATCGAACCTTGGCCCAAACACGCCAGGAACATCGGCAAGCATATCACAACTGATCATTCAACGTTGAATAAACGTAAATTCTCCATAACGGTCTTTACTACGGAGTACACTCGGTCCAAACTCCACTTTAGGGCGCGGAGGCCTCGGTACTTGGAGAAGCTCCCCGAGGTTTAGGCGATGGCCAATCAGATCAATCCTCCGCGTTAGCTTGGCGTCTGCATGAAGAAGCATGCATGGTGAACCAGATACCCGTAGATATCCATAGTATTGATGCTTAAAGCTGATTTGCCATTCTTGATGGATCAATAGTGATTTGAGAGTGCACTCGGTTTGATCAGTAATCGATAATACTATCAAATATCACGCACTCCACTGCGGAATTATAGGGCACCCATGGACCTCGGCACGAAGACCCGCTGAGTAATTTAACATTTAACGGCCGCCCGCAGGTGGGCGCCCGCTTCTGCCATAGAAAGATGCCGGATTGTTACCCAGGTGGTTCAAGGGAGTTCATCAAATTGATTCTAGTGTTCACAAGGCTCTTTCCATTTATTTGGTATATTATTTGAGTCCCGGGGAAATTCCATAAAAACATGTATCAAATTATTTCATTCTGGAAACATAACCTTGGATAGGTGAGAAAATAAATAGGAGCGTGTTGAACGCCTTAGAAGCAATACTTCATGGCTGACTTGGTGTTGAATCAGTCAGACAAGTTTTCCAAAATCACTTCAGTTCCACGCTTGCATTCGCACTCAGTGATAGTGGCGTAAGAGTGGTCAATCCTGCCCGAGTCTCAGCATCCTCCAGAGTAAGAGTTGCGTTCTTTCCACTCCCAATGCCCAGCGATCGTTTCACGGCCTTCCAGCTCTCAACACACAACAAGTAGACACATGTACAACCCAAGACGACTCCCCACTCCCAGGTGATAGCATGATGCTTGAAGACCAGTTGGTTCACAACTGGGATATAGATGACCGGGAAAGCAAGGACAAAGCCAGCCATGACCGCCCAGAAGAGGAAGCGATTCTTCCAGAGGGTGGAGAAAACCGAGAATGTCTTGGGATTCCGGATCGGATCCATGTTGAATAGAGAACGAGAAAAGTGCTTCACCTCCCACGCTGTAACAAGGAGAAGGAAGGTGAGTGTCGCGTAGGTTGTGGCACGAGCACGGAACACTGCATCGCAGCTTGGATTGTATTCCTGATTACATCCATCCCCTAAAGAAGAGGTTCCCGACCCGGCGGCATATATCACGACGACAAATGAGACGAGACAAAGCGTGCCCATAAAGGTTCCGTAGATCATTTTATCCACAATGAGCTCACGGGTAAAAACACCAATACGTAGGTCATGTGGTGGTCTATACATGATATCTGGCTGAGCCTCTTCAAGTCCAAGACCGACGGCCAAGAATGAAGACGTGACAAGATTCGCCCATAAGATCTCCAGTGGAGACAGAGGGAAAACCGAGTCACCTCCCTTGTCTTTAAAAGCAAGAGCGATCAGCAGGAGGATGACTTGTGCAATGTTTGAAATGAGCAGATGCATGAGGAACTAAAATTAATGTCAGTGCATCAAAGTAAACATCATTAGGGTGATATTTACTTACCTTCTGAATGTTGTCAAAAAGTCGTCTACCTTCTTCAACTGCTTTGACAATAGAGGAGAAGTTGTCATCGGTCAAAACCATATCAGCAGCTTCCTTGGCAACATCGCTACCATTTTTACCCATAGCAATACCAACATCAGCTCTTTTGAGAGCAGGTGAATCATTAACGCCATCTCCCGTCATGACACAAAATGCTTGACGCCGATGCATCGCATCTACCATCCGAACCTTGGTGGCAGGGCTGCAGCGTGCGATGACAAGAGGCAGTTCCTCAATGGCGTCAATTTCTGCATCGGTCAACTTGTCAAATTCATCCGCAGCCATCACCAGTCTGCTGGATTTGACAACTGCTGCGACACGGTCAAGAATACCGACTTCTGACGCAATTGCTGTGGCTGTCTTGATGTGGTCACCAGTGAGCATGTGGACTGTGATCCCTGCCATTTGGCACCTGCGTACAGCTGCGGCTGACTCAACTCGAGGAGGATCATAGAGTCCTACAAGACCCCCAAATCGTAGGTTGGACTCGGCAGAGGTTCGTGGGGATATTTGAGACTCATCGTCGGCTGGGGGTGTTTTATATGCGATGCATAGCACACGAAGTCCTTCGCCTGCCATCCGATCGGCCGTATCTCGTATGATCTGCCTTTCTGTTTCATCAATATTGAGATGAGGAATAATGGTCTCCGGGGCGCCCTTGGTGTACACCTCTTTGATCTTATCCCGTAAATTGTCATAGACGACGGTCATCTTCTTGATAGCAGAATCAAATGGATACTCTGTATTCAATTGAAGTTGCCATTGCTTCATCACAGCGTCTTTTCCAAAATTAAAGCGCAGAGCCAGGACGTGAAGAGCAATCTCTGTCGGTTCACCCACAGCACTCCATATTTGATTGTCATG